TTTAAAGAAATATATTTTTTAAATAAAAGTTTATCTAAACAGGTATAATATTGATATAATTATTTTTCAAAGTGTGCACATGCTTGCGGAAGACAAATTTAAATCGTGATTTTTTTCAAATTGATATACTTTTATGTCAAAATAAAATATGTATAGTATATAGAAAGACCAATTTTGCAGAAGTATCTAAAAAAAAATTTAGCTAGATACAGAAAATAATTTTATTGAAGCATCAAAATAATTACGTGTAAATCTCAAGTATGATGAGCAATGCTGTAGCAAAAAGTTTTAACATTCCAGCAACTTGTTTGAGCATTCTAAATTAATTTGATAGTTCACATAATGGTAGTTCAAACCAACAACATGATTTTCAAATCTATATCCAGCTAAATATATTTTAACAAAACCATTCTTTTTGTGTAAAATTAATGAACGTTTTAATTACAGTAAGTTTTTTTCTAAATAGAACAATTTAAAAATTCAAAAATTCGAGCAATAAAGCAATAACATATCTGCTTGACTTTCCGACATACGTTTATCATCTTAACGGTCGATTTCGGACCGTTTTAATATTGATAAGTTAGACAAGCATCTCCGTCCAAAATCTGTCGAGAAGCGGCGCATTTCGCTGAAACAGGTAAAGAGCCGAGAAACATTGTTAATTACACGGTCGTGCTGATATCGATACCGGCTATCGGGGACGACGTAACTGGGCCGCACGGCCGCCAGTAAAGATGGCATCGTGCACACTAACGAGTAACAAGTGGCGTGACGTTTCAGTTAGGCTTTACTTCGCCCAGGACTGGCAAGGAGGCAGATATCAGTATGCCACGACGAACTACCTATCGCCTTGCTTGGCCGAAGACTAATTAACACGGAGATTCATTATCGACACCTTAGCTGCTCCGACTACTGTCTTAATTTAAACAAGATCCGTGGTTCTTGCATTATTTGTTGCTGCAATTGCAATTAATGATTTACAATGATTACTAGGAAAATATTGTTGCTGTAACTTTCCAAAAGACTGACGCGTTCTATTTGTACACTGAGAGAAAAGTTTTGATATTTATGACTTTATAATTAAATACATGTTACTATTATTACTGCTACAATGTAAATAATAATAATAAATATATGTATAATTTTATCAATACATGCATACATTGATACCAAAATGACTACAAACTATAATTACTATAGGGAAGTTATAATTATTATAATTTAACTATAATTTATAGTCTGTAGGACATTTATACTTTTCGGAGCAATCATATAAAATATAAAATAGTACATAACTGTACAACATTACATTACCTAATTATAATTATAATTATAATTATATAATATGTAATTAAAATAAAAAATATAGAAAATATTTCTCTCAGTGTATTTAAATGGCAAAGCTAGAAAATAATAGTTTTTATTACAAATATTAGAATCTACAACAAAGAAATTTATTTCAATGTTAAAACACTCATGTTTTTAATTCCTAATAATTCTAAATTAAAAGAATTTGAAAGAATTGTTTAGTTAAATATCGTGTACATAATGTAATGATTGATCAAGAATTTTGATTTTTTCATTACACTTTAAAGATAGAATTTATTGGATTTAAAATAATCTAAATTTTGGAATTTTATTATAAAGTAACGTCGAAAATTGAAAAAATTGTTTCAAGAAACGTTATTTGGCATTAAAAAAGATTGATTAGGATTCGTTTGGAATATTTTAAATGTTTAAAGTGCTTCTGCTTTCAAATCGCACTTCTCATTTTCGATTCGAAAGTACGAATTAGAATCATCGCGTGCGTCGAATCAATACTTGAACACATAACATATCTTCCTTTCACGGTAACTTTCAAGTACTAATCACCGACATCATTACTCCAATGTACACAATGACGTTTTCGCTATGCAAAGTAGAAATTTGTACGAGGCGCAAATAGCAATTGACTACCTGCGATCGGTTGCGCGTGCTTTGCATACAGCACATAAGTGCTGCACATCGAGTTAGTTACGCTTACATGTAAATTGATGTTTTAATCGATCGTTTGGTACTTTGCGATTATACGTACAATAGGCTTGTCCACTTCAATTAATCGACGCCGAATATTTTAAGAATAACATTTCTTATCACAAAGTTTACGAGTGTTTACTTAAAAATCTACTCGTCTTAATTTTTCCTCTTAAACAGAAAAAAATATTCTTTATAATAAAAAAAAATTAATTAATGCTAAAAATTACATTATATATTGTATAAAAATTAAATTTTTTTCTATATATGTCATTTTTTATTGCATAAATATATACGTATCTATATATTATTGCATTATCAAATTAGAAAGATCAAATTTGTCCAAGAATAATAATGATCTCTGTCTGATTAGATTATATTTATTGTGCACGTAGTACAGTGCTAATTCCCAAGAGCCAAACTTATTATAATTATATTTTTTATATCAGGTAATTAAGATTATCATTCGTTTGATTAGATTATGTTATAATAATGTGTAACGAATATCAGCCGATCACCCAAATAACACAGAGAGTAAAAAAAAATCAAAAAGAATTCAGTATGTTATCAATTCTTAGTTTATTTTCAAATGCAAAAAGAATTTTTAAAACTTTTCAGAAAAAGAATCTTTTTTGCATCTCAAAATGAATTCAGAATTGATGACGTATGATTGAATCTTTTTTGAACTGTACTATTTAAACAGCTGACACGCCGTCCATCACGATAGGATGCACCACGTTATTTTTGTACTAACACGATGCGTGAGTTCGTACCGTGAACGTGAAAACTTTATTTACAGACGGCGTTCATGTGTTCAGCGCGTGAACGTCCCAAATGGCCAACGCTCCGCGCTTACGCGAGACAATTAGATTGTTAACATTTAATTGTGACGACATGTAATTTTTATAAAACTAAAATATTCTATATAGAATGTCGCTCCAAGTATAAAAATATTTAAAGATTTGCGGTGGAAGATCATAATTCTTTCAAAATAGGTTTTGGTATATAATAATCAATTAATTACTGCGAAACTCTAAATCGTTATAAAATCCAAGGAGAACAACAAGTCACAATAACGTCACAATAACAAATGACGTTAAAATTCGAAAATGATTAAAAAATGATTTTTAATGATCATTTTAGAGTCATATTGACATCATTATATCATAATGACTTGTTGTTTTACTTGGCAAAAAACATTAATAAGCGAACGTCATTGTTTACACTATAAAACCAATAATAAATTTGTTAACCGAATCAGTTGTTATATAAGGCAGATAATAATCGCGAGAATAAGATGCGCGAAAACTTATACAGAAAAACTGCGATAATTAAGAACTCACTTGATGATGCGATTTCGATCGAGTTTGAGCGCGAATAATCGCAAAGGAGGCTTGCAAACGTCCTCCCTTAATATTGATTACTACAAATCTGCATTTAAAAGTACGATTATTGGGGCGATATTTACGTCGGCGTAATGATCAATAAATCAATTATATGCCTTTTTACAAAGCTTATTTTCAATGAGATCTTATGATTGGCTTATTGATCATTACGCCTGCGTAGATATGTTCCGTGGGACACTCGATGTTTGTGCTGGCGTAACGAAAACGGCGTAAAGCCTGTGATTGGCTTAGTTCCTTTATGCCGTACACTCACCGACTAAAAGGTTGCAACACTTTTTTTTTAATGAATTTCGGAATACAGTCTGCTCACCGAGCGATTGGTTCTTACTTATGGATCCATAGGTAAAGATCAATCGCTCGGTGAGTAGGCTGCATTCCGAAAACCATAGAAAAAAATCTGTTGCATCCTTTTAGTCGGCGAATGTACACCGTACATTGGCTCCATGGAACTTCACCTTTAGCTTTGCTCGTAAAACATAAATGGCTAGAATGTTAGATCCATAATAGTACAAGATCCCACCGCAAGTGTGCACCTATCGAGTATGCAGATGAAATGTAAAAATAATCGAAGTTCGTGTTGAGGGCACTAAACCGCTATAAACTATATTATTATAATGTTTTTGATTAAAAAATTTTGACCCATCGCGTATGTTTATAAAAGGACATTGGATAGGGGATGATCTGTAGATTATGAAAATGGTAGGGTGCCATTTTTAAATGGTCACAACCCTCTGGCAGTCAGGGTAAAGAGAGTGAATAATGAATAAATGTTTGTTCATTAAATGCATTCATCGCGTAGTTTAATAATTTTTGCACTAGATCGTTAACTTAATGTTTACTCTTTACGACGGAATAGAGTTGTCTTTAAAAAACTGGTCCAAAATGAAGTCCGTCAGTAGCTGCGTCCTTCTTTACCGTCAAGAGCCACGCTCAGCTTCTTCTATCTTGAACTCGCTTTCGCTGGCCGGAGCGATTTTTTAAAACGCTGGCCACCCTCACTTTGGATCAGTTTTTTAATATTCCGTCATAAAGAATAAACATTAAGCTACGATTTAATGCAAAAACTATTAAATTACGCGATGGATGCATTTAATGAACAAAAATTCGTCATTACTTACTCTTTATCCTGACTGCCAGAGGGTTGTGATCACTTTAAAGGTGGCACTCTACTTTCGTAATCTACAGATCCTCCCCTTTCCAACAGTAGCCCTTTTGTAAACATATACGATGAGTCATTTAATCAAAATTTTTTAATCAAAAACGTTGTAATTAATGATATTCCTGACTTTTTCTTAGACACCCTTGCGGTTTAGTGTTACCCTCAACACAAACTTCGATTTTTTTTTTATATTTCATCTACATACGAGATAAGTGCACAAACTCGCGATAGGATCTCGGACTATAAGTAAGAACCAATCATTCGATGAGCAGGTTGCGTTCCGAAACCCATCGAAAAGAAGTGGTTTAATGCTTTCGTGACTACTTTATGTATATGCGTCAACACGCACACGGCACAATGTAAGAAAACCAGTTGAATGCTAGGCTCATTTTTATTGTAATTCTTCAGATCTTATAGTCAGTAGAAGTTAAAAGTGACGGAACATTCATAAAAGATATACTTCTACTCCGTTATAGAAAGGAGACTTTAAAATGCATCAATTTCTGTCACAGATGAGATCACGACGAGGAGGCTGGAAAAAAGCCAGGCGACTTAAGCAGGTTCTTTTGTCACAGGGGGGGCTTGACCCTTCAGTTTTTAAACAACCAGATGCCTTTCATGAACCAGCCGTTCAGCAGGCATCTCTTCCTCCACTACTATCTAAATCTCTCTTTCTGCAGCCGATGATGGCTTGCATGCCGCATCAGGTAACTCGACTATCAACGTCCACAAGTTCGGAGGCTCCGACGAACAAATCCATCAGCCCCTGTATTCTTTAATTCATTATGATAGTAATAATATTATCGTTGTGCAGATTTTATACATAGTAAAAAAACTACGCAAAGAAAAATGACATCGTTACTGTCATAACGAGTTACAGAATATTAGAGCAGGGATGCTATTCTGTACACATCTATCAACAATCTTCGATTTACTAACGACATTTGTTCACTACACGATTGGCAAAAATAAATCAAAGTTATTTTTAGAAGGAAATATTAGTAAACATACGGATCAACTACTGAGCAATATAATATTTAATATTACAAAGATAGCATTTAGCTTATACGTTAACTTTCCTCCTCTTCTGGCTATAGCCAACATAATCTTAGAAAATGGATGGCAAAAGCAAAATAACATTTATTTTATATTATTATAAAAATATTTTGAATAAACAGAACAACAGATTTTACTTTGTTTTTAAAGGATCTACACAATTGTTGTGTGATATGTTACAAAAAAAATTAGTAGCTTTACAAAACTATTTCAACAGATCGTCTGTGTAATATATATGTTATAATAATTTTTTTTATTTATGATATTTACTTTTTTAAAATAAAATATGAATAATGTTTCTTTAGCGAGGCAATACATCTCCCATTAAGAACGGGAGCACAAAACAAAAAATTGATGAAATACATGGAGGCACCTTCAGAATTTACAACAAATAGATTTATAAACTAAAGAAGATAAAATTCACCACGTAAAACAACGAGAACACTTAACAGCAAAGAACAATTAACTATTGCAAATTTAGTAGCAAATACTTTATAAGTATTTGTGCTATCTTTGTAATATTGAATATTATGTTGTTCAATAGTGATCGGTATGATTACTAATATTTTCTTCGAAGAATAGCTTTGATTTATCTCTGCTGAGCGCGAGCAACAATCAGGATTAAATCTAAAAACATACAACATTTAATAATGAGATTCATTATAGCAGTTACAAAACAACCTTTTAAACGTAATTATAAGGATGTATAATGCTATTTTGTATATTTTTTTCTTTCATAGGTATATCAGATGCAGTTAGAAAATGGAACCAATGATATTCTTCAATATTCACCAGCAACGACGTCAGTCGTTAAAATAGAGAATGTCGAAAGCGATACGAATATTAATGCTGGTAAAAAAA